ATACCAAAGAAGGTATTTTTTCAATCACCTTCCTGGGATGTAGATAATGTTAAAGCAGATATAACAGAAGGAGGCAATGGAAATTGTGGATACACCCATGAATGTAACACCAAAGAGTTCAGAGATAGAGTATTGGAGTTCAGTTCTGAAGCTGACATATTCTGACTTAAACAACCAGATGAGGCATACTGTGACAAACTATTGAACGATCCACTGGTTACCAACCTATGAAACCTACAAGCATACACAAAATCATTTGTCAATATGCACACAAACTACTGAAGATATACACAAATCTGTGTATTAAAATCCCACGTTCTTATTACAGGAGTGGAAAATGAACCAAAGATATCTTTATATCCAGAACAGCTTATATATACTCAAGTGATTCTATTCATCATCAAATAATGTGAACACAGTCTTCCAGGTTTAGTTCTGTTCAAGACACCATCATGACAATAATTAGGGCACTCACCAACTGACGGAACTCGAGGCCACAAGTCGCATAGTAGTTTTGAGTGTCAAATCTAAAGGGGTCTTCTTGCAAGGAACATGAAACTCAGAACAGAAGTTTTTTGCTGCATGGCCATCTATGGTTTTCGAGGACTCCAAACACGGATTTGATACAATAATTGGCTCATGGGCAGCAAATCCTTTTAAAGCTTTATCCTACCATTACAAAATGGCCATACGATATTATTTATGTTGGACAAATAACTCAATGACAGTAACAGAGAAGAAAACAAGTTCAGGAGAGATACCATGTCCAGATTAGGCAGGCCAGATAGCTTTTCATTTCCCAATGAAAGTTCAGTGACATTGAGAAATGTACTTTCAGTACACTTGTCACTCTTTGTATATGTTTGGGTAGTTTTGGCCCTGCAATGACGAGAGCGAAAATTACAGGGTTGCAAAAGCATTGTATCATAAAGCATGTAATTAGTATTATCAAAATAGCATATTGTTTAAATTTACCTGGGAATAGGCAATTGGCTCTCAGCACGCAATTTTGAATAACCAGCTGAACTATCATGGTCACTGTTCTTTGGTGGGAAACAATCCTGCCAGTAAATAGACAAATCAAACTGCTTCAGTATTTACTCAATGACATTAGACACTTTAATAGAATGTCATAATAGAAGTACAAAACCAGCACCAAACATTTTCTAGATCTTGCTGATCATCATCTTTGAATTCGTCTACTTAGCTTTATAACTTCTAGGAAAATAGTGGCATGTCAAATATTACAAATGAGATTCATAACATGAATTTGGGAAAATAGAAACTTATCAAGCAATCAAAAGGTAGGGTAAAACCTTGGTATCATCTTTTCTGGAGATCGACCTCAGCTTAATGTTGTTCTTCTTAACAGGATATAGGTCGTTCATCTTAGTGTTAATATACCTTGGATTTTTTGGTAGATTATTACCCTTCTTGGATCCAGGAATGACCCAATCAGTTTTCCTACAAACAGCATACAAATGTCTCAGTAGTATTATACATGTCGTACAAACTAAATTTTGGTATAACACTTACCTAGCACAATCAATAACTGAATCTGGAGACTCATCTATGTGTTCCTCAATACTCTTTCGCTTCAGCTGCTCACCCTGTCAAGTAGGCATAACCTATGAGGCATTTTCCATGATCCAATTTGTCATCCTTCTTCACCATTCAGTGAAAGTAATATGGTAGAGCAAAGAAAAGGTCGGCAATTATGGGAAAAAGATGGTATTTTTCATGACCAAACTAACTGATCATTTATATCAATTTTGTCCATCTCATTCAATAAGGCTAGGCTAGGGGTTTGCTGATACGTTTGCCCACTTCATCCAAAGAACAACAGTTTTAGAGACGTCAATGCATATAGATATGCTCCATGCCAATTAAAATAAAAAAATTTGAGAACTTTACTGATCAGTGAGAATGGAAATGAAAATACCAGTGTGTAGTATATCAGATAGAAATGAAAGGGCTCTTCAAAGCTCGTTTTATTCTTTACAACGTATTATTTAAATGAGGCAGAATATAGTCATACCCGTAGCTCGGACGGAGTTTTCCTTTTCAAGGTGGTTGTGGTAACATTAGAACCACCTCCATCACCGGTGCCGAAACCAAGAGAACCCAACGGCCGAGCAGGAGCAACCATCATTCTCCAGTATTTCTCAATAAGTAAATAAATATCTCCACAGCCTCAAACCTCCACCTCGCACCCTCCCTTCGCTATGCAAGAAGCCAATTACAGACTACACGGAAGATAAATTACAATGACCGTTTAGAAGAGTGACGGAATGAGATTTACTTAGGTCTCATTTCACTTCTTGCAACACTTACTTCGATTTCGATCGAAGACGTAGAAAATCATAGAGCCATATTACAGTTTGAAACCCTAGAAACAATATGGGGTGGATGGGGTTGAGAACTGAAGAGCGGGATTGAAGATGCGGAAGTGGGTGATTTTTTGGGATTTCAAAGAATTCAATTTCCCTCGCAACTGCTGCAGGTCTACTTCCGTCGGATCATTTTCGCCCCGATTTCCCTCCTTGGATCCTTGCAGCGAAATAGTGAAATTTCGGAATTCCCTCGGGGTCTTTTAGAAAAAGAAAATTACTTTTAACTAAAATATACTCTCTCCCTCTATCAAGTTTGATGAGCACCTAAAATAATAAGGTAGAAATTGTGCATCAGGAGTTATAAATATATATATAGAGGAAGAGGAGAGAGAAATAACAAAAAGTACAAACTAATTGATTAAAAGAAAAAGTGGTAAAAGAAATTGGATAAACAAAAACGGAAAGTTGACAAAGTTATAAGTAACAGAGAGAGTACCACGTACTACATATTATTTTTAAAAAAATACTATGTAATACGTACTATGTAATAATCTTTCAAAAATAGGACTAAATGTTTTATTTATTTAAATGAAAGTAACCATAAGATTTTTTCCTTTAATATAATTAATTAATATAATTAATTGCCCTCTAATCCGCTCACTTAATCAGGACAGTCTCTTGGTGGCGACAATCAGACAGCGGCGGCTCTCCAGCAATGGCGACGACCTGCTAGCATATTAGTGGTGGTGACCATCAGAGAGTTTCTGGTGACCAACATCGACATGTGTTGGTCCTATTTGAGCGATGTTGGTCTTATTTTTATAAGGGTCACGCAATGTCGATGTTGGTCACCAGAAACTCTCTGATGGTCCTAAATTTTTTATAAGGGTGTATTTATCCAATCACAAATAGTAAGTTCTATTATGGGTTTTAAAAGTTAGGTCTTATTTTTAGAAAATGAGCATGTGTTGGTCCTATTTGAGCGATCCTCCGGTTCTCCTATTTTAAATGGAGGAATTTAACTTTACATACCAATTTTGGATGATATTGATTTTGCACCTCATTTCAATAATCATTAATGTGTGCACCACATTAGCCTAAAAATGTGAAATAGTTAATGTGCAAAGTCATTGTTATACTAAACAGATGCACACATTAACGATTCTGAAAACAGATGCGAAGTTTGATATAGTCCAAAAATGGAGTGCAAAGTCAAATTACACCTTTTAAAATATAATATCATTCATCCAAGATTAGTCTAGTTCTATCTATTTAAGTGTGGTCTAATAAGATTTTGTGTCATGTGTATTTACTATCCTTCCATCTTATAACTTTGCAACTTTCCATTTATTATTGTGTTATTAAGGATATTTTTACCTGGACTGTAATTTGTTGGTCTGGTCTGGTCTGGTCTGGTTTCTTTGTATTTTTATAACTATCCAAGTCTGGTCTGGTCTGGTCTGGTCTGGTCTGATCTGGTATGATCTGATCTGGTATGGTCTGATCTGGTCTGGGAGGAATTACAGTCCAAGTAAAAACATCCTAACTTTGTCATTTTCCCTTATAAATAAAGAACTTGTGGATATTGTTACTTTTTTCTTTATTATTGTACATGACAGTGAACTTTGACAGAGTTGTAAGAAACGGAAGATTATTGTTTAAATCTTATTTTAAAGATAATCTAGTTTGACATGTTAATTTGGTCTGATTTGTGAGCGAAATCAACCTAAATGAAAACACCCATAACACGAGATATGATTAGAAATCAGTCTTCTCTTAATCTTTTCATCTTGTATCAGTCAAATACAATCAGAATTAGTTAGTTACCTCACTTGTAGACATATATATCATTCTCGAAAATATAAGTTAATATCTTTATGAGAACTGTAATGGGGTGAGAAAGACAAAGGAAAAAAGCTGCCATCTCATAACATAGTAAAGTTAAATATCTTAATCTTAAATACAATAATCGTATGTATGTTGTATGATTAAATTGAAACTTAACACTCCTTATGTCCCTTGAAACATTTCCGAGTTTGATCGATACAAATAATAATAAAATAAAAACTGCGTAATTAATGATTGTATAGAAACAAGAGGAGAGAGAAATAATAAGTACCACAAATTAATTCCTTAAGTGAGAAAGTGACAACATTTTTGAGACAATACAAAAAGAAAATACGACAAAATTATAAGAGACGAGAGGGTACACGTTAAATGATTAAATAGTGCATTTGATGAATGGAAGTAATCAAAGTGGTCCACTTCCCAAACTTAAGAATCCCGCTTTTGAGGCATTGATTCAAGAGATCAAGGATGTGAATTACGGAGGCTTTTCTCAAATGATGTCCTCTAGCTCTCGGATTAGCTCGATGAATTGCATAATAATTGTTTCATTTTGTCTCAATCGGCAAAGTCGAGAACCCGAGGGCAGGCGCAATCCATTAGTTAAGAGTGATTTCTTTGTGCACGATGATGTATAGATAGTGTATTTACGCGTTATAAGAATTTCATGAATTTTTGGAAGCTCAAGATTAATCCGGAGAAATGGAAAACACCCGCTTCGCGCGCTCCACGTGTAAAGTTAGCCTTTCCATTTCCATGAAAGTTGAAAGTATTGTGCACATGTGCAAATATCTCTTAATGCCTTCACCCCTGCTCCATTTCGGCAAACCCAGACCTCTCATCCATCTATTTTCCACATATGTGTGTGAATTCATTTTTTGCTATCCATCTCATATGCGCATGAATTAGGAATGCATTTCTTGTGATTTGTGATGATTGTTGTGGAAGGATGAAGTTGCTGGATAATGCAATTGGACGATAATAATGGTACATCTACATTAATTTCCCATTACATTTAATTTTGTTTTGAATTCTGGTTTGAAATGCTCCATAGTTTCTCGATGTATGGTTGTCCTCCTCACAAATTGCTTTTTTCTTTTCAGAATATGCAAATAAAGAACACCTAACTACATCCAATTTAGAGATTATTTCTCCAATTTATTATTCTATGTGGTGTAATATTCAAATTGCGTACCTTTTAAGATTCTGCAAAGCTTAATTATGTCGTTTAGGGTATATTAAATTTTTATTTTGATATATTTCGCATGAGTTTTCCAACATTCATTTGATTGCATAATAAAAACATTCATTTGATTGTTTTTTTATTTCAATTCTTCTTACACTTCAAAATCATCTAAGATTTTCAAAGGTTATGATTGAAGTTAAGCCTACCTTGATTTTGTTCCTTAATGTCATCGCCAATGCCACCCTACTTTTTTTGGAACTCCTTGCATAAAAAATATCCCAGATTATTGGTTTCTTATATGACAAATAAAATATATAAGTTGTTAATGGTTTTTGAAAAAAATTCAGGAAGATCAATTTGATTCTTGATTGTATGATCAAGCTTGTGTGCAATTTCTGTGTTTATTGCCAATGTCACCTTATTTACATTAGATCCACTAATGTGCTTTATTATTTTATGTAAATTATACATATTAGTTTCATGGTTGGCCGTTTGGTTGACTCTCCAATTTGTTGCTGAAGGATGAAATTGTCGGATGATGCAAGAAAATAATAATGATAAACCTACATTGGTTTTGTGTCAGATGAAAAATGTTTCTACTTTCTACTTTGGTTTAAGATACTCCATAGTTTTTTGTAGTGATAGTTGTCCTCCTCAACATTTACTTTTTCCAGAAATTATTAACAAGGCACCGTGAGTTACACCGAAAATCACTTCTCCAATTATTGTTCTTTGTGATGTAACTTATGAGTTACTTTACTTTCAAGTTGATGCAACGTTGAATTATTGCATTTATGGTATATTTAATTTTTATATCATTAATATGTTATATGGCTTTCCAAGTCGTTTTTTATTGTACTTTGTTCTCAATTTTTTCACATTTCAAAATCTTCTATGATTTTCAAAGGTTATTTGCATACATCTACCAAGGTCACCCATTTATTGTTAAATTTTTTGGCACCAACAAATGTCCTATTATTGAGGTTTCTTCAAGGACTAATACAAACCATAGGTTATTATTGGCTTTCGGTAAGAAATTTTAGGAAGATCAATTTGGTTCTTGATTGGATAATCAAAAGTACAAAAGTGATATTTGTGGTTAGACTCATTTTTAGATAGGAGCTTGTGTTTCATACTTTCATGTGTTAACAAAGTAGGTCATATGTTTCAATTCTGTGATCATAGGAAGGGGCTCGACGCTTAACGCCGTTAGAAATCGCCAGAGAAAGATGATTAACAATGCTCCAATATTCAAAAGGGCCTGAAAAATTAAAAGAAAAACACTAAGAGGTGCGCCTCGTCAAGGAACTCCAAACCATATTCCTCTTTGGATTTTTCAAATTTGGTGATTATAAGGAAGATGGGGCTATTTCACATTGTTGTATACATATTATACTCTCTTTTTTTGCATTGCTTGGCATAATTGATACCAAGAATGATACTTGTTTTTCGTGAATTCATGCGCGCCACGCCATAGAATTTATTTCTATTCTTCTTGCTTGATTATTTTCTTTGCCAATATAGTTCATGATCTAAAAAGAGTTTTCGGGATATGCATGCTGGTTATTAATAAATTTATAATATTTCAGGTGAAACTGTACCCTTTATCATCTCAACATCACATTTGAAATTGGTTGTATGATGTCATATATTAAGAGTTCTCTTGTGACGATTAAAGAGATGGTGTAAGTGAAAATCATGAATTGTGTGTTAAATCACTGCTCAGGAGGCAAGTGGATATGGTCAAGGAACTCAAATGGAAATACTTATGACAAATTCCCGCAAATTACATGTGCCAAAAAGATTGATAATCACTCATCTATCATATTGTAAGTTTTGGATGAGTGTCCCAATTGCATATCTTGATTAAACGGAATTGAGAGCAATACATCACTACTTTGATTTTCTCACTAATATAATCAGGTCAAACATATGCCTTGTGATATTTTATCCTATAAGATTTTATCAAAAATACGAAATTTGAATTAGTTTTCGAAATGACTATTACTTATGTATCATATAGTGATAATCGAATGATGAATTCGATACGACGCAGTTTCATCAATTTTAGGGAAATGCACAAAAAGTAATTTAATCCTGGTCATGCAGACGATGAGACTTGGATATTTGAATAATATATCAATGATGCCGTTTTTACCAATGTAGGATTCCCGCATCACAAGATGACCAAGCGTAATTATATTATTCAAAATATAATTATACAACGATGAACATCATGTCTTCTTAAAACATGTCTTGCCTTTCGATCTATCTTGATCCCTTGAATAAAGATAATTATAGCATACTCCCTCATATAATGAAATTGCAATTTCTCAAATAAAATACTTATATTTGAGTTGGGATTGATATCATTTGTAGTTGTAGATGAAGAGCATCAAGTTCTAACCCTTCATATTTTGTGATTATTTGTGTTTTTATAGTGATTTCATTAGTTATAAACATATTATCCAAATTTTAGTTCATGTTAGTATTTTATATGTAGTATTTCGATTAAAAATTGATTGATTGACGTGGGGTGAGGACATCGGTTTCCATGTTTGCGTCACACATTAGTTACCCAATCATGTGTTCATTACCAACCTATATGATGTGTCCATCTTCTCATACAACTCAACTATCTCACTTGGTGGTCATGTTCTTGAATTTGCTCTCATTTTGTATATCATTCATTATTTCATTTTCATAGTTTCCTGCAATTTGTTTGTTTGAAGGTGATGACAAAGTTGAACTCCACATTTCACATTGATTTGTCTTTGTTACATTGTTGAGATTTGGAAATGTGAATTCTCAAGCTACAAAGAAATTTGGCATTTGAGATATTGATTTGATTTGCTATTTGGGATCGTCATGTATGCGCTTGGATGGCTATGATATTGGAGAAAGGTAGGAGCTTTGAGGTTAAATCAAATTTGGTCCATTAAATTTAGGGTTTGATGGGGAACACAAGTTCAGGTCCCAAATCAGGGAACAATGGTTTCTTGCAATCCGTGACTGCGGCGGTGTGGAAACCCAAGCAGATAGAGAACCCTCTCCCATTACCCACTGGTGAGGGAGAATCTGATGATGGCTACAACACCAAAAAGGATTCAACAGACCCTTCTTCTTCTGGACAATATATATCTAGCACTAGTTCCATGAATCCACGCGACAAGTGTCACATGAAGAAAATGCCCAGTGTCGGGCTTCACTTGGATTCGGTTTTAGGGCGAAAAGCGGGTAATATCAAGGACACTTACATCATAGGGAAGAAGTTAGGGCAAGGGCAATTCGGGACAACATTTTTGTGTGTGGAGAAGGCCAATAGGAAGGAGTTTGCCTGCAAGAGCATCGCCAAGAGGAAGCTAACCAGTGAGGAGGACATAGAAGATGTCAGAAGGGAGATTCAGATAATGCACCACTTAGAAGGGCATCCAAACGTGGTGCAAATCATGGGAGCTTATGAAGATGCAGTTGCTGTTCATGTTGTGATGGAGCTTTGCGGGGGTGGGGAACTTTTTGATCGAATCATACAGAGAGGGCATTACACCGAGAAGAAGGCTGCTGAGCTCGCTAGGGTCATTTTAGGTGTTGTGGAAGCATGCCATTCTTTGGGAGTTATGCACAGGGACTTGAAGCCTGAGAACTTTCTATTCATTAATGAGGAAGAAGAGGCACCACTAAAGACCATTGACTTTGGCCTCTCTGCATTTTTCAAGCCAGGTATTTTTGTGAAAAACCATATGCTTAATTAGTAGTCTTTCTTGGTGGTGCAATCATTGATGTAATGAGCATTGCCTATTTTTCAAGGTTGTAAAGCTTGTACTACCTCTGTTTTTATTTAGTTGTAGCATTTTAATTCACATTTGTCGAAGCATGTGTCAAACAAATGTTAGTTTGACATGTGTGCATGCAATTTACATTGTTATGCATCACAAACATAATACTATATATCTCTCTTAGTAGAAGTAATACCATAACTTGTTAACTCAGGGGAAACATTCAGTGAAGTAGTTGGGAGCCCTTATTATGTAGCTCCAGAAGTCCTACGGAAGCATTATGGACAAGCTTGTGACATTTGGAGTGCTGGAGTTATTATTTACATTTTGCTGAGTGGGGTTCCGCCATTTTGGGATGGTAGGCACATTGTTCTTCAACACTTTTGGCTCACTCTTTCCATTTGGTAAATACAAATTTAGTTATTAGTAATATCCACTTGTTATGGATATGCAATTTGATAATGTTTGTCAGAAACGGAGCAAGGAATATTTGAACAGGTCTTGAAAGGGGAACTTGACTTTGTATCTGAACCTTGGCCAAATATATCAGATAGTGCAAAAGATTTCGTCAGAAAAATGCTAGTAAGAGACCCCAAACAACGGCCAACAGCTCATGAAATCCTTTGTAAGTGTATTCAATTCTTTATTATCTATGTTAGTGCATGCCACACTATTTATGCACTCTCAAGATTTTCAAAATGTGATAAAACAATTATCTCTTGTTATGATATGAATCCGTTCTTTTGATTGGCTTTACTTTACAACATGAAAAAGGTTGACCCCGTCTCAACTTCCTAAGGTTTAAAGAACTTGATCATCTTCATAGTGTAGAGAAGAAGTATAGGGTGATGATATATGACCAAAAACAATTTTTTTTGAATAAAAACAAACCAGTGCCCCATTTTCTTTCATTTCCCGTGAAATCCCGCACCAAACAAGGGTAGTGCTCACACGTGATGGACAAAAATGAAAAATGGTATATAACTCCAGTTAATTTGTAACGCGATTAAGGCAAGTGGACATTGTTTATATTTTTCAGGCCACCCTTGGGTTCGAGTAGGCGGTGTAGCTCTGGATAAACCTCTAGATTCTGCTGTTTTGAGCCGACTCAAGCAATTTTCTGCCATGAACAAATTGAAAAAGATAGCTATCAGGGTATGGTTTTAATTTCAGTATTAGGTCAACTAGCTCTCTAGAAAACTTAAAATGGTTAAAATTATTCACATATAGATATGTTCACTGAAAATATGTTGAATTAGTATAATATTTTGTCTATATAACTCCCTCTCTGTAAGGAAGTTATCTTCATGTTTTCCCCTTTTGGCCCATTCAAAAATAATCTTGATGCATGCATGTTATTCAAAAAATAAATGAGTGGTTATTTCAAAATAGAGGGAGTAGTTTAATTTCTTCTAATAGCAGTATTGTTATCTTCACATTATATTATTAACATTGATTTTTCCATCATTACCATTATCCAAAGAGGTTTTTCCTAAAATATTACTAATCCAAAACTTATTGATAAAAATGTGATGTAAACTTTTGCAACTAAAATGTGATGTGTACTTTTGTTGCCACTATGATGTAAACTTTGAACACAATTATAATCACTAAAAGTTATAAAGTCACTTTTTTATCCACCACTGTTGTTTTGATTATATATTAGGAATTATTTATCACTCACCTTAATCCCAAGTATCTATTGGCGGCATGAAGTTCATAGCCAATCATTTGTCTAAAATACTTAACACTAAATTTGTTGGGTCATACCCCATTGCAAGACTGATATTATAGATCAAATTGCAATTCAGGGGACATGACTCATATTAACTTTGATTTTATTTTATTTTTTTCATTTTCACAAACCGATCTTTAAAGTCAATCAATGTGAAGTTATATGATTTATTAGTCCATATGAGTCTCAAATTCTTTTGCCATGTCCATCGCCAGGTCATTGCTGAGACTTTATCTGAAGAAGAAATAGCAGGGCTTAAGGAAATGTTCAAAATGATAGATGCAGATAGTAGTGGACACATTTCACTTGAGGAACTTAAAAGGGGGTTGGAAACAGCAGGTGCCAATCTAAAGGACTCAGAAATATATAGTTTAATGCAAGCTGTAAGTGCCACAATCTGTCGCAATAGCTCTATTCCTTGAAGAGTACATTCCTTATGGAGTTAAAATATAGTTGACAAAAGCATGGCTTTAATAAACATATTAAATAATATTCCTAAATCCCTTTAGCTTACACAACACTAATAAGTTATTCAACTGATTTCTGAAGCACAAGGATGCACGTGATTTAGTGAAACCTCGACCTGAAAAACCCTCAGAAGATCCATCACAAAGCTTCTTTTTTAAAGTTTCTTTTGGTCATAAGTGTTTTTGTTTTTATTAAGGGACATTGCCCTTTTTTGTTCAAATAACATTTTTCCTTGATGGTCTATGAGCTTTTAAACGTAATGTGATTAGTTGATGATTGCAGGCTATGGGAAACCCGACTTCTCATTTTATAAGAACATTCTTTTAACAATGGTATTAAGTGGCGTTAAACCATTTCAGATTGGGTTGGGTTGGCACCTCTACTATGTCCTTGGTAGTTACAAGTGGGCATTTCGAGTTCAGTGTGTTTTTTAGTTAAGTTTAGTTTAAATGGGTTGGGGGGGTGAATACCAAATTATGTTTGGTTGGTTCGAATTTGCATGTTTTATTCTGGATTAATAGGACTTGGGAAAACTATCAAACTAAAACCAACATGCATATGGTATGCTTTCGTACCAAACCCTAATATCTTTCCCCTCATGGAATGTGAAAGGTTTGGTTTGATCTATGTCCCCATTGACCTTTGTACTTAGTGCACCCTTTTAATGTCTTTATGGATAATACAGGCAGATATTGACAATAGTGGTACCATAGACTATGGAGAATTCATAGCAGCCATGCTTCATATGAACAAAATCCAAAAAGAGGATCATATGTATGCTGCATTTTCCTATTTTGACAAAGATGGAAGTGGTTACATCACACATGACGAACTACAACAAGCTTGTGAAAAGTTCGGTTTGGCTGATGTCCCCATTGAAGAAATTATTCATGAAGTTGACCAAGATAATGTATGTACTTTCTTGCTCATATCATGTTTCTTTCTTCCACTTATGTATATTGTAACCCTCAAGTTTTGGTCTTTGCTATTCTTTTCATCAGGATGGACGCATAGATTATAATGAGTTTGTAGCAATGATGCAAGATACAGGCTTTGGTGGAAAGGGATTGGGAAACAGTAGTATAAAACAACATGGTTTAGCTCGGATAAAAACATGATATATCTCAAGTTTGACTTACATATACTTGTATTTAATGTAAATGAATAGTAGAATATTTTGACTACTATTGTGTAAAGATAAAGGTTAGACTAGTCACTCGTATAAGATGGTAGTTTTTTTTATTTCTCTAGTTCCTAGCTTTGTACTGCAATTCATGTTTTTTATTGTTTCTTTGAATCGTAGCAACTCCCTCTTTCATTGTAATTACTTCTTGATTGCTATTTTTCAATCAATCATGTTAGTCCCTTGTTTCTGTAACAGCAATGAATAATCGATCTAACAAGGAAGATTAAATGTAAAGATGAACACAGAATGAATCACCGTAAAACCTTCTTTGATAAACCGTGGAACGTACAACAGAATGATATGCGTAAGGCTATGAATAATAAGTACGACGTTCAACCTTTTCCTAAACCTCGGCTCCCTTTTTATAGGCGAGGTTTAGGTTAGGCGTGCCAGGCTTTTGGCCTGTTTAAATGGGCCTAACACTTGGCCTGATTTCTATCTAATTTATGCACTAATTAAATACAAGGATTAAATATAAAGCTAATCTATGACCAACTTGATTCACAATTAAATATCTCCAACAATCTCCCCTTTGTGATCAAGTGCCATTCTCTTATTGCTTCTGAGATTTGAAGTAGTGCTTCCTCATACCAAGTGCATGTTCATACTGTCTCAGCACATTTCTCTTTTCTAGGCGATCGTCAATGGCCTTTAAAATTGTCTCTACAGTAGAGTGTTCCTTTTGAACATAAAGCGATGCCTCTTGAAGATTTTCTTCCAGCTTTGCCTTCATCTGTAGAATCTGCTCTCTGATTATCTTCAGTGTTCCGTCGCAGTACTTCTTGATTTCACTGACTACCATCAGACGCTTTTCGTTCTTGTGGTTCAGATAGGTGACTGCTGGCGGTGTGAAGAAGATGTGGTAGGCTGGGAAATCTTCAAGTTCTGGACCATACAGTCTTGGCTTTGTCAGATTTGTCTTCTTTAGATTGCATTCAATAGCCATCTGTAGGTCATGTGAAGAGTGTACTCGGATTTGTCTAAGCATGAATCTCTTGATAGCTGTGAGACCTTCGCTGTATACTATGCTCTGCCTGACTGGAAGGTATCTGTAGGCCATGAACATTTGGTAGATGTCATCCGGTTTCAGCATGATGAAGTCATTCTCTTGGCAAGTGAATTCACTCCCATCGGTGCGTTGAAGTCTGTAAGTGTAGAATGTTACTCCATGTTAGTCTTCAGCCTTCACTTGTAGAATTTGATGAATCGGGAGAATATTCGACTTCAGATCTTGTTCCATTAGTTCTCTCTGTGTACCGGTTAACCTTTGCAGCAACATATGCAGATGACCTCCAGCCTGCTTTCCTTTCAAGTGAGTAAGGCCTCTTAGCTCCAGTTCATTCAGTGGCTTGACTCTGTCTGGTCTACGCCAGATATGCTCTCTGATTTCTTCTTGGAAGGGGGCTTTGATACGAACATTATCCCAGGGTTTCTCTGTCTTGGGAAGTCTTCCCGCTGTTTGTCTTACAACTGATTCAAGAGTCTTCTGGGATTCTTTGTAATTCTCCCCTTCCTTGCGTTCATCGTCCTCGAGCCTTATTATATCTTCAGAGCATTTGTTGATCAGCTCTCGTAGCCACCAGTTTCTTTGCATGTCCTCTTGTTCGGCTTCAACCCGAAGATCATCCCATTCTGTCCATTTTCTTGGCCATTTGTCATAAATCACCGCCTCTTCCAGTGCATCATGGATGTCTTTGCCTGGGGAGATATATGGAATTCTTTGTTCAGTCGGTGATTGTTCCTGTGTAGCACTACCGGGTTCGCTAGGATTGCCCGTTGACATCAGCTTAGAACTGGGTTCCAACTGATGGCCTGATGGGGAAGATGTACCAGAGGTAACATCATCAGGACTTCCATCCCCTCCTCGGTTGGTATCTCTGGGAGATACGCCTCGGGATGTTATTTCTAGCTCGACCATGCTAGATAGTTTGGCTGTGGATGGTGGCTGTTGGTTTGTTGAGGTTTCAGGTTGAATTGGCTGTGGAGTTTGGCTTGGGAGAGCAGTTTGCTCAAGTGATCGAGGTCGCTTGTTCTCCCCCTCATGAGGATCCGAATCATCGGGGTCCTCATGGGAACGTTTGCGACCACGAAGACTCTCCTTGCAAGTACTCTTGGTTTCGGGTGAGGAAAGAAGAGCTTCTAGTATGGCTTGCTGATGAAGAGTGAGGTTGTCTTCTGGGGTATTTAAGAGATTGTTCAGCAAAGCCGAAGCTAGTGTGTCAAAGGATAGGGAGGAGAGGTCGATGGAGGGTGTGGTCGGGTGTGGGGAGAATACTGGTTCTGTATCCTGGGTTCCCCGAGAAATAGAAGGGATAGGAATTTGGTTTATGGATTGGTGGGATAAAGGGGTGGAGGATATGGGTTGTGTATGGGAGATGAACGGTTCAGGGGAAGGTTGGGGTGGTGTCTGTTCAGACCGAACCGCTTGGGTGGTCCTAAATTCCTGTGCTAGAGCGGTCATTGCATCTTGCACCCGTGGTTTAATGGTGGAATCCAGGAAGCGATTTAGTAGAACGTTTACGTCTTCAAATGTAGGGTGACCAGTTACGGGGGTTGTAACTGTTGACACAGCATCAGTGAAGATTGCTGATGTGTGGCCTGCATTTAATGATGGAATCATTTTGGGCGTAGCAGGGCTTCCAACCGTCATAGCTTGCGCTCTGGTTGTTGCGTTCAGGGTGAGTGCACCTGTATGTGCAGTGAGTAGTGTAGGTGTCCTAGAAAAAGAAGAAAATGTGGGAAATGTGACACCTAGACTCGATGTGAGAGAAGAAGGGGTTTTGACCTCGGGAGATAGGTCAATTGTATGCTCAACTGATTCAGAAGGAACCAGCGAGGGGGTTGAGTCTCGTTCTTTTGAAACAATAGCCTTTTGAGATGCAATTGAGTGGCTGGGAGAGGGCTGTGCATGCGCAGTTGAGCCAGATGCTGCGACTTCTACTCGGGAACCGAAAAGATCGGCTCCTGTGCTTAAGGATTCAGCTCGGCTTATCTGGATAAAAGTATCGCAGCCAGCAAAGATATGCTCGTCTGCCTTGTCAATTAGGCTCTTTCTGGCTTGGGACCGGGGCTTGGCCTTGGCAGCCTTGTCATTCTTGACCTTTGCCCTGGTCTCTCGGATGACGACTTCTTTCGAGTTGATTGACGCTTTAATCGTATGAGCCGCCTCGTCATAGTCGTCCTTTGAGCAGTTTGTCTCGCTGGAAACAACTATCGGCTTAGCTTTCTCCTTGATGGTGAAGACTTTGGGTCTGCCAGCGATTATTGGTGCTGCATCTTCAGCAGTTATTCTTTTCTTCTTAGGAGATTCAACTGGCAGTTTCCCTTTTCTGATTAGAGCATATGTTAGCTCCACATCATCACTGTCATTGTCTTCGTCGTCATCATCCGAGCCAGAATCTCCGCTCTCCGTGCCCACGCTCTCGGAAGCCTCGTCGTCAGTGTTTGTTTGAGCTTCACTTGACGATTCATTGGCCGTTTCCTCAGCGTCTTTTTCGGTGCCCTCAGCCGCCTGACTCGTCTCTAGAGAGTCGTCAGACTTCCCTTCATTGGGCAAACCGGCCACTGGTTTCTGTGGCTTTTGGGCTCTCTTAGGACCCTTACTCACACTCGGCTTTGTCCCTTGGGTAGGTCCAGCTGGGTTTTGCTGAACCATAGGGACGGTCTTCTCGGTGGCTTCCTTGTACTGTTGAATGGCTGGGTTTGAAGACCTTACAAGGTTGAGCAGAAACCCAGGGATCCGTAGACCATAGGTCGGGTTCTTGTCCGCTTTGAAGTATTGCAGCTTTGGGGCTTTGAAATGTGGATCGGAGCTGCGTTGTGGGATTGTCGAATGCTCTGCCATGAGGTCGTTGATGATCAGCCCAAGCCATCTGGAGTACGGAATGGTACCTGGCCTATTCTTTTCTTTGGCCTTGACCAGGTCCATTAGCTCTGAGAAGAAGAGCTGCGCCAAGTCGTAGTGTTTGTTGAAGGCGATCCCGTGGAAGACTAGCAGTATTTGCTTGTTGCATTTGTCGAAGCCAGCATGCTTTGGCGACAAGCATTTGTTTACTAGCCCGAAGAGATTCTTCCACGGGTGACTGAGATATGCGCCGTTGAAATTCGACAGTTGTGGCAGTAGAGACGTGTAGCCTAGTGATGCTACGTCTTTCAGTAGGTCTGGGATTGACGGCAGCGCATCATATGTATCTCTGACTGGCAGCGCTAGTGTGGATTGTAGTGTTGATGGCGTCAGGATCACGCGCATGCCATTCAGCTTTGTCTTTATTTTTGATCGATCCTTTGGAGATTCTGTATGCATGTGCCCCCATAATTGTTGTAGGTATATCTCTGGCACTGGTTTTGAGTTGTGGAGTGCAGGCCAGAGATAGTGACCCTTCATGATGGCTGGAACGATTGGGTTCTGGCATTTGAATACTGCAAGGTCTAACTGGAAGTTATTGTCCAGCACCTTGATCCATTTGTCTTGAGAGTAGATGGCATCATCGATCTGTGCTTTTGTGTTTCCTGCCATTTTAAACTGTAGAAGCATGGGGTCAGCACATGAAGTTCAACTATTTGATTTGATTTTGAAAGAATTTGATTTGTTGTTTTCAGATAAGTTTATGCAGGTGGAATTTTTAAAAAAAATTCTAAGTCCACATCTCGAGATCTGAATCTCGAGATCATGATTTCGAGATCCAAATCTCGAGATCTGAATTTCGAGTTCAAATCTCGAGATCAAGATGTCGAGATGTAGATCTCGAGATCTTGATTTCGAGATTCAAATCTCGAGATCAAGATGTCGAGAAGCCCATCTCGAGATCTTGATTTCGAGATTCAAATCTCGAGATCAAGATGTCGAGATGAAGATCTCGAGATCTTGATTTCGAGATTCAAATCTCGAGATCAAGATGTCGAGAAGCCCATCTCGAGATCTTGATTTCGAGAAGTTGAACCGACGATCTCGAGATCCAAGGACTCGAAATCGTAATATCGAAACGAAGAATCCACCTGCAAATACAAAAGCATAAGGTACGATAAACAATATACAAAGATTTCGACCTTGAAACACACGAAAACCCTTTTGATTTTGAGAAAAAAATTTGACAAAAATCTCGAGATCGTTAGTTTTCGAACGCAGTAGAAGATGATGATTTCGAAATGGAGTGATGTGAAGATCTTTCGTTTGGGGCGTCGTTATTGAACTCGA